AATTTGAAGTGTTCGGTGATCACAAAATTTTAAAGTACTTATTCAATCAGAAGGAATTGAAATGAGGAAGAGAATATGGCATGAGTTGTTAAAAGATTATGACTTTGATTTAAGTTACCATCATGGTAAAAAAAATGTTGTGGCAGATGAATTGAGTAAGAATTTGTTGCATATGTCGATGCTTATGGTTCGAGAGTTATAATTAATTGAGCATTTTAGAGATATGAGATTAGTGTATAAATAAACTCCTAATAGTGTAAAGTTGGGGATGTTAAAACTGACTTGTGGTATTTTAGAAGAAATTTGAGAAGGTTAGAAATCTGATTTGAAGTTGGTTGATCAGTTGACGTTGATTAACCAGGGTAATTAAGGTGAGTTCAGAGTTTATGAAAACAAGATAAAGAGATTAGGTGATAGAGTTTGTGTTTCGGATGTGCCATAACTTAAGAGTATTCTTGAGGAAGGGAATCGAAGTGGACTGAGTATTAATCTCGGTGCTACAAAGACTTATCAAGACTTGAAGAAATTATTTTGGTGGCCCGATATGAAAAAGGAAGTTGCTGAGTTTGTTTATACTTGTTTGACTTATCAGAATTAAAAGATTGAACATCAGAAGCCTATGAATCTAATGCACCCGTTGAACATTCCGCAATGGAAATGGGATATCATTTTCATGGATTTCATGTCGGGTTTGCTGAAGACTGCTAAGGGAAATGATTCGATTTGGGCAATAGTGGATATGTTGACTAAGTCGGCTCATTTCATGCCGATGAAGATCAATCATCCTATGCAGAAGCTGGCTAAGATGTATATTGAAGAGATTGTGAAATTGCATGGGATACCTTCGAGTATTTTGTCAGATAGAGATCCGAGATTCACGTTAAAGTTCTGGGAAGGTTTGTAGAATAATTTTGGTACTAAGTTGATTTTTAGTTCCACATATAATTCGCAGAGGGACGGTCAGACAGAGATGATTATTCAGCCTTTGGAGGACTTGTTGAGGGCTTATGTGCTAGAACAAGGAGGAGCTTGGGATATCCATTTTTCATTTATTGAGTTTACTTATAATAATAGTTTCCATTTTAGTATTGGGATGGTACCATATGAGGCATTGTACGATATGAGGTGTAGGACTCCATTGTGTTGGTATAAGTTGGGCGAGAATGTTCGCCTCAGACCTAAGATTGTATATGAAATGAATGAGAAGATCAAGATGATTCAAGAGAGGATGAAGGCTTCTCAGAGTCGTCATAAGAGTTATCATGATAAGAGAAGGAAGCAACTTGAGTTCCAGAAGGAAGATCGCGTGTTCTTAAGAGTTACTCCGCTAATTGGTGTTGGTAAGGCTCTAAAGTCGGAAAAGCTTACACCGTATTTTGTTAGTCCATATCAGATTGCTGAGAAGATACGTAAGGAGGTATATTCTGGATACTTCGCATTTGATCCAAATGGATGATGTACAGGTGAGAGATAATTTGACAATTCTAGCATCAACCGTACGAATAGATGGTCAGGAAGTGAAGCAGTTGCGGGGTAAAAATATTGTCTTGGTGAAGATAGTGTGGGTTGGACCAGCTGGTGGAAGTATGACTTAGGAATGTGAAGATCATATGAGGGAGTCGTATCCGATTCTATTTTCCTCAGGTAATTTTCAGGACGAAAATTCTTTAAGTAGGGGAGAGTTGTAACACCCTAAAATTCATAATTAATTATTTAATTAATTCTTGGCGAGTATTTGTGATTATTTGTGAATTATTTTGATTATATGATGCGGTGTGTGATTTTGTTGTTGAATATTGTGGGACATAGGTGTTATGTCGTGGAATAGTGTAGACTAAGGTGTTAATTGCTATTACTTAGAATTAATTTTATAACTTAGATAATTAGTTTTAATTATTTAGAATTATTATGAGTATTTAATTAAGAATAACGGTGTAGAGATAATAAGGGTAAGGAGGTAAACATCATGAGTATTAGTGAGAGTATGATGGGAAAAACATAATAGGGTTCTAAAGATTAAGCAAGGAAAACAAGGAAAAGTGATTCACTTTGTGGCGATCGTGGAAGTTGAGAGAAGAGGTGAAAGAGGCTAGGGTACGAAGAGGAGAGAAGAGGAATTCATCCCGTAAAGTTTGGAACAAGATCAAAGACCAAGGAAATTTATGTACAATTTTGTTGAAAAACCTGTGTTACGGAGCATGATATTCTCTAATGATGTTTTATGACAATGTGACACTCGTGTTGGTGATTTGTGTTTAATTATTTATTAAATTATTTCATGAATCATTCATTTAGCTTAGAAGGGTGTTACAGCTGTCGTACCCTAATTTTATTCGGTATTTCCATTTCACTAACATTTGAACTTAATCAAAGTGATTCATATTATTTCAGAAAAAAAGTGTTTGTCTCTATCCATTTACATTTTGTGTCAACATAGAATATAGTATCTTTATCCATTTTTCATTTTTCAAATCCCAAGTCATCTCTATTATTCCTTTTTCATTCTTCTTAAAATCCATTTTTATCTTTGCACTTTAAAACCATAGGTCATTTTTCCATCATCACCCATTTTGGAATTTTTGCATTAACTTTAAAATGTTTTTAGTACTATTTTCACATTTTGCACTTCTAAAATCATAAGCCAATTTTCATTCTTTTTCTTTTTAAAAAGTTAACACAAATCAGCAATATCCTCAAAATACAAATTTGCAAAAAAAACATAATGTTTTCATACTAATGTATCATCACATATTTCTTTTTCACCAAGTCAATACAAAAAAAAAATTTACACTAAAGAAAAAATTGCAAAAAAAATAATCATAAAGTATCCTCAAGAATTATGCCTCTTGCTCTGGACAAATTTGTAACCTTGCTAAGTCCCTGATTTGTGCTGGTGGGATGCCAACTAGCAGACATGACACACTTGCTGAGATTTTTGGTTTGACTAAAGTCTCTCCTCCCTTCATTTACCTTGGTGTTCTCATATTTGTTGGCAATCCCAAAGCGTGCCATTTTATGCCTCTTGCTGACAACATAAGACTCGGGCTTGCTTCTTGGAAGGCTAATCTCCTGACCATGGCTGAGAGAGTTTTACTGGTCAAAACTGTGGTTCATAGCATGGTGGTTCATTGTCTACCTATTTACAATTGGCTTGCTAGCATTATTAAAAGATTAGAAGGGTGGATGTGAAATTTCATATGGAGTGGTAACATTGATAAGAGGAAACTTGTTACTGTGGCTTGGAAGTATTGCTGTAGAAAAGTAAAGGATGGTGGTTTGGGAATAATTTCTCTCCAGCATTTCAATACTACCACCAACATGCACTTGTGCTGGCAATTTCTAAACAAGAAGTAGTCTTAGTCAGCATCTCTTGCTGCTAGAGTTCAAAGGAACAACAGATTCATCAATTACTCCATAAAATCCTCCATATGGAAAGGTATAAAGGATTGCTATAAAAAAGTTTTGGAGATTTGTGTTTGGTTCATTGGTAATGGCAAGAGTATCAATTTTTGGTTGAATAATTGGGTGGGAGAACCTCTTGCGTTCAAATTTAAAATTCCTGAGGAGTTTCACTCGAGTCTCTCCTTCAAGATTTGTGACTGGTGGATTAATGATGCTTGGTCTCTTAATGGAAACATAAAACAAGCTATTCCTTCCCTCTCTCTTACCATTTCTCCTTTTCGTGTCAATGGTTTGGACATTGATAACTTATTGGCCCTGAAAAACATTGAGAATGGCCAGTTAACCATTAAGCATGCTTATCAATCAATGAACAAAACCGCTCCTTCTGCTTCATGGTCTATGTTAGTTTGGCGTTTGATGTACAACAAAATTCCCACGAACGAAAATATCAATCTGAGGGGTTTCTCTTTTCCTTCCTTATGTTCCCTTTGTCTTTCTAGTTGCGAATCCACTGATCATCTTTTTTACTCTTGTGCTTTTGCTGCAAATATTTGGCAGTGGTTTATGGGAAAACTTCAGCTTCACTTTTATATCAGACAGTTCTCAGACTGTATGCGAATTTTGGATGAACCTTGGAACCCTCAAGCTGAAGCAGTAGTCAAAGCTTGCATTGTTAACATTTTCTATCAAATCTAGATTGCAAGGAACAATGTCAGGTTTGATAACAAGTCCACTCATTGGAAATCTTGCATCTCTATCATAGCAGCCAGAGCTAAGCTTGTTGGTAACCTTTCTTCTAAGAAATCTAATGCTTATATGAATAACTTCTCTATGATCAAAAGTTTTGGTGTTAATATTAATCCTAGCAGCCCTTCTGTCTTATTAAATGTTATGTGGTCTCCTCCTTCGAAAGGATGGATTAAATGCAACGTGGATGGTGTGACTTCCGGTTCTCCTATGATCTCTGCTTGTGGCGGCATCTTCAGAGATGAGAATGCCCGTCATTTGGGCAATTTTAGTGTTTATCTGGCTACTGGCTCTCCGGTTAAGGCTGAATTTCTATCTTCACTATTGAAAAAGCCAAAGAGATGAATTGGTCGAAGCTTTGGTTGGAATATGATTGTATCCTTGTTGTAAAACCTTTTTCAAATCATCATTTGGTGCCGTGGAATCTCAAGTCTCGTTGGCTCTCGTGTTGGGCTTACACTCTGAGTGTTGATTTTATTATAACTCACATTTACAAAGAAGCCAATTTTTGTGTGGATTTCTTGACTAATATAGACTTAAATAGAAAACAATATACTTGGTATAATTTTGTTCATATTGATATTTTGTCGGATTACTTTTTAGACAAGACTAATACCCCTAGATTAAGACTATGTCATTAAGAGGTTTTGATTTGATCCTCTCTTGTGTCTTTTGTAATCCATTTCTCTTTTTGTTTACAAATATATTTAACTTTCATTCAAAAAAAATCATGAATACATCATCCCACACAATCATTATCATGCCATGCCATGCATGGAATTCATAATTATAAAGTATCTCATTTCTATTCATGAATATATCATCCCATACACTAATTATCATGCCATTCCATGCATGGAATTCACAATTACATCATTAAAAAGTCATACAAAAGTCCACATTTCTGCAAAAAGACAAAAGTACATAAATGTTCCATTCTCATTACATCATTCATGATACATCAGCATACACACCCTGCAACAAAGTTTTCATGTTTGAAAAACTTCTACAACACCACTTCTAACAAACTTTTGCACCCATACATCACTCACACATTTCATACAACACTCACACAATTTGCATTCAATTCTAACAACCTCACACACTCACCAATCCCAACCCTAATTTGATCATATAAGAAGAGATGAAATTAGAAGGAAAAGAGGCAGATATCTACACACTAATACTACTGAGATTCTGCTGGTTTTTACTTAGTTAGAGTTTTCTTCACAATGAAGAAATTATGAACTTCTCTTGAATCCCTAGCTGAACAGCTCCTCTGACCTTCCTCACCACCACCTTGGGCCATTGCCTTCACTATGCCCTGCTAGCTTTCTCTTAACATTTGAACCACCATAGTCAAATCCCTTTTCATTTCCATTTGATTCATACCTCAAATTGAAAAAGCCACATAATAAATTAAGTCAAATTTTGAGAATTTTGAGTAGAAACAGAGAACAAAACAATGAAAACCATTGAAAAATACATTGAGAATCATTTTTTACCTCGCTGGAGTACGTCGCCGGAATCTGGAAAAGTTGGCAGCAAAATTCATAGCTCGCCGGAAAACTCATCGCAATCTTCAACCTTGCCGGAAAATTCAAAGTTATGCCAGAAAATTCATTGGAATCTTCAAACCTTCATCGGATTTTGGAAATTACAAAAATCCTAGGTTTTCATTTTCCACCTATTTTTGCACGTTTCTTCATCCTAGTTTGTTTCTGCAAACAACATGAAATTACATGCTAATGTTTCCTAATTGCCACAAACAGAGTAGATATATTATTTAGGGTTAGTGTGTTCTTGAGGTTTTTTTCCAGATTTGGATAATTGGTGTGGACTTTGTTATTTTGTTTTGTGAATTTGTTTGTGAGAGGGAGGTGAGAATCGAGTTTGTTTTTAATGTTGAGAGATTGTCATTTGTTGTTGATCTGGCCTAGAAATCGGTGAGAGAGAGGAAGAGAGTTCAGAGAGAGAAGGAAGGTTGAAACTGGCGAACGAATGGGTCGTTTCCCATCACCCACACTCGCTACTGCGCAACACCCTCTTTTTATTTTTTTCCAAACGCCCTTAGCTTTTATTTTTATTTTGACAAATATATTTATTGATTTATTTGCATTGTGATGATTTGTTTAGTTGAATTTTGCTAAATAATCATTAAAATCAATAATCTTTATTATTTTCAATAAAATCAAACACACTTTCAAAATTTAATCGAGTTCAAATGTCTTTTCTCACTAAACTCGATGTATATCCCTTTATTTATTGAGTATTTCGATACAAGCCATATAATTTGTCTTTCGAAAACTCGTCGTCCATTTAAAAACAACGTCAACCAATCAAACTTACTTTTTCCGCCTTAGCGTGACTAAATTTTTTTTCCATAAACGAACAATGTTTTATCCATTCTTATGTGACAAACAAACAACAGTTACTTTCGCCCATGCGCGACCAACGAGAAACGTTTAACCACTCGAATGCGATCAAAACATCTTTCACCAAAATCAATCAAGTTACAAATTTTTGTTGTCCATAACTACGTAAATTTGAGTTTCCCATCGCACCTAAGAATACGTGGAAGCGTCAATCAACATCTTGCCAAGCACCCTAATAAAAAAAACCTATTTCCCCTTTTATTTCTTTTTGTAAATATGTCGTAATAATTAGAAGAAATTGAAATACTTTAAAGATAACACTCTTATTCGTAAAACTAATTAAGCAGTTCTCATTGGTTACAACGGATGTCGCAGGATACTAATACCTTCCCCGCGCATAATCAAATCTCAAACTTGAATTTGGTTATGATGGCCATATTTTTGTTCTTTTAGGGTTTTATCGATGTTTTTCCTTTTAAAAATAAACTCTGATGACAACTTCATTGAATTTAGAGCATTTATTCACTCGAATATTTTTCGCACTGCGACAGAAGGACAAGCTTTAATCAAGCATTAGAAAATTTCAAGCATATATATGGATGGAAAGTCAGGAGAAGTTACAAGATAATTAGGGAAAATCTAGGTTAAGGAAGGAAACCCAAGGATATAACCATCAAACAAGTCAACACCAAATGTTTAACTTGATTGTAAACATTAATAAGGAAATTTAAATAATCCAACATGATCAAGCTACAAATGAGGCAGCCTGAGTAAATAAAAAAGGAACCTGACCAAGATCAATACAACAAAGAAATTATCTTCCAAGAATCAAAGGATTTTGTAACAACTATCAACCATACTCTACAAAAAGACAATGAGCAACTGAAGTAGGAATACATTATAAACCAGATGGAACTTACTACTTAGAACCAAGTTCCCACGATTATAGATAAAACTACATAGTGCATGCCAGTTGTTGGAAATAATTTATATTTTAGGAATGTCTTGTTGGCTAAGTCTGTTAGAGTGTATTTTAGTATATTAGTATACCCTAATATTGTGTATAAATAGTCTAGTAGTAGGAAGGTCAATAAATTCATTACTCCTTATTTAGTAGCCGTCATTTAATATATTCCTTTTGTATTTCATCTCTCCTTTGTGCACCAAGAATTAGTATCTAGAGCTCTGGTTTGAAATCCACGGGGAAACACGGAAAACACGAGTGAACAATGAGGCGTTGTGTGATTGGGAATCACATTTTTTCTGATTCTGTGGGATTTGGGAAACACTGTGTGTTAGTGAGTTTTGAGTGAACTGCACAAGATTGAAGATGAACGGAAACGATGATATTAGTTCCTTTTGTGTGTTAGTGTTTGATGGTAAAAACTGAAATCGTTGGAAGATCCAGATGCGTGTGTTGTTCGGTTCTCAAGATGTGTTAGATCTTGTCACCGATGGCTATACTTCATTAGCGGAAAACGCGATGGAGGCACAAAAGACAATGCAGAAGACGATAAGGAAGAAAGATCAGAAAGCATTGTTCTACATCCATCAGTGTATGGATGTGAATGTGTTTGAGAAGATTGTTGACTCTGAAATATCAAAGATTGTGTGAGACACACTGGTCAGATGCTACGGTGGTGATGCCTTAGTGAAGAAGGTGAAGCTTCAGTCCCTAAGAAAGAAATATGAGAATCTCAACATGAAGGACAACGAGAAGGTTTCTGAGTACATTTCTAGAGTGATTCTGATCACTAATAAGATGAAAGCTTGTGGAGAAACTCTTTCTGAACAAGTAATCATAGAGAAGGTATTGAGATCTTTAACTTCTTAGTTTGATTACATTGTGGTAGCAATTGAACATTCAAAAGATATGAGAACCATGAGAGTTAAAGCGCTGCAAAGTAGTCTAGAGGCCCATGAGTTGCGTATGACTGAGAGAACTTCTGAGAGGGAAGTAGAGCAACAGGCTCTGAAAGTAACTTCAAGTAATAAGTATCAGAAACAAACTTGGCCAGAAGCCAGAAAGAAAACTAATGATGGTTAAAGGTCAGAAGTCTCAACCTCTGATAGGCAGAAGAATATCCATAAGGGAAAGGAGAAGTATGTGTTGGCTGAAGATTTTGATGATACAGTTCGAAATGAAGCAATATGGATGTTTCGTTGGAATAAAGCAAAATGTTACAGTTCGGAATGGTAGAAGTGGTTCTTTGAACGGACATGTCAAAGCTCGGAGCTTCGAGTGACAGTTGTGAATATATATTTAAAAGAAGCCTCGAAGTGGTAACGAGACTGTGTCTGTGAAATGAGTTCGAAGCGAAGATTGCCAAGGAATTTGAAATTCAAACGCGAGCGGGATGTTGGAATTCAAATATATATGCGCTGGAGCGTTCGAAGACGCGTGGAAGCTAGAGAGGAGCAGTGCTCTGCATGTTCCGAACGTGGCAGAATCTTATAAGCAAGACCGTCATGGTCGAAGTAGTATAAATAGAAGTCTTAGTGTTAGGATTTCGTGTGTCATATCTATTGTACAAAATTCAGTAAACATTCAAAATACCATATGGATAGGGAAACGAATGCTCGAAAGATGTACGTATGATAACACCAAACATTTATAATTCAGTAAAACTCTTTATCTTTTCCAGTTTATCTTCCATTTTCATGTCAATGTCATTCAAATACCTTTACATTCAAAGTCATTTACTTATTTCTTGCATTTAAACGCTTTTCTTCTATTCGAATCCTTTACATTTCAGAAACTCTTTTATATTTCATGCTTTTTACATTAAAGTCTTTACATTCAAAGTCATTCACTTATTTCTGCATTTAAACATTTCTTTGCAATCGAATCTTTATTCATTCAATTCAGTTTCGTATTTCTTTACTTGATCATGTCATTAGATTCTTTTAACATGGTAATCGAAGTGAATTGAACGTCTATAAAACATTCTAAATACAAATCCTAACTATGAATATCAGTTTTGCAATTAGATTTATCCAAACGACCAATACTCCATAGGATCAATCTAGTCGATCCTGCAAGTTACCAGAGAGATTAAATAACAGTCATTAAGATTATTTGATAGTTTGGAGGACTAGCGGTTGTTTACCAGAAATCACTGTAAACAAATTGGCACGCCCAGTGGGACAGTCATTGGTCATTACGAAATTTAAAACAAAGTAAAGATTGTTAGGATATAATCATTGTAAAAGTTCTTCTGAGTGATAAATTCGTTGTTATATGAACCTTAGAAGTGGTAGAATAACCAATAGCAACCAACCCTTACCCATAAGAAAACGTAATAACAAGATGTCTAATCCAAACAATCAACAAGGGGAACAAAATATCCCACATGGAACAGGCGCCAATGCGTCTGTTTCGACAGGGACGTCTAGCGCGATCCCCACGAACGCACAGTCTGTTGCATCTTCTACCAGTAGTGTGGCCACAAATGGAGCAAGTGGCGTGACAACCAACGGTTCGACCCTAGGAAATACAGGGACCACTGGTTATCTGGTGGGATTTGTCCCACCATCAGGGACACAAGCCCATTTCGCCACCCCACTAACTAGACCACCCGGTTTCGATGGTAACAGACACAGAAATCCCTCTTATGGAATGCCAACATCTTTTATGGCAGGTTTACACAATTCCACATCAAATTCGTCACCACAATTTGGATCCGGATCTGGGGCCAACCAATTTATGAAAAATACCCAAGGTTCAGTGGGTCACAATACATTGCCTATCTTAA